GCAGTCACATAGGAAACCCATAGCGTTGTGTGATCTATGACTCCAGAATCATGTAGATCACTCAGGACTTTCCTTTTACTTCCAGCAGCTGAATACAGATTTGGGGGAGAGTAGGGAGTACAGGCTGCTGTCTGGAGCTAAGTTAGGCCTCGTTCAGCGTCTCCACCACTAAAAGCGACCCGCAGAGGACCGTATAACAGCGGCTGCCCTGTGTTCACAAGGTGATACCGCTGCCTCCTGAATGCCGTTCATCCCAATGGAGGTTTTCTATTGCAATACTGCGTGTCCGTGTGGTTGTGGCACGGTCCTATTGATGTCAATGGTCGTGTTTGGCAAGCTGCAAGCACTATTTTTACAGATCGCAGATCGGTGTGTGGCCCCGCCCCCTCTTGTCATTCTCATTGACGCGTTTTGTTGGGGAACCAACCACACTCATCCCCATCCCTCTATTCATAAAACGGCATGAGCAGATCTCACTGTGCACATGTGCGAGATAGGGGGTTGTGTCATAGGTGTAGGGGGGCAGCTAAAGAGCCAGGAAGAGAAAGATGGCTGCCTGTGACGTCAGCAAACAAGATGGCAGCAGAGGACAGGTCCAGTAGGAAGACAACGCTGGATGTGTTGAGCTTGTATGTATGTGATTACATCATAAGAAGAGTGCCAAAGGGGTGGGGGAGGGGAATCCTCTTTAAAAGGGTCAGGGTTATGAGAATGGGGCTGAAGCACACTGCTGGCAGCAGGCTGTGCACTCAATTGAATGAATACAAGGTATTCTGTGATTGGACGAGGGGCGAGTGAACGTCACAATCTCCTCTCGACCAATCGCAGAACACCTCGCATGAGCTGCAGGGTGAGCACCAGGCGGAGCTGCAAGTTTCATGCTTGGTTGTTGTGACCCAATGCAACACATCCTAACATGCTGGAAGTGACTAGGACAGAATGAAGTGTCACTTTGTCACAATTCAATAAAGTTGTACCAAAGTGGTACCATCATTGTTCATGGGGCCCCGAGTGTGCAAAGTCTGCAGCTCAAACAGCTGTGCACAGGGGCAGCCCTTTGAAATGAATGGCTTCCCTATGCAATCGTGTGCATTCATGCCCATCAAGTGCCCGAAGAACGCTCAGTGATGTCATCGATTGTGTGGCAATGCTACTCTGCCAGCAAGGAGCATGCTGATAGCAGGAGGAGCTCGGCAGTCTGCTGCCATTGTCGAATCACAGCTGGGGGGAGGGACAATGCCAAGATTTCCATAGACCATGCTAGGTCCGAGAGACTTGACCACCCCGCAGTATGTCCCTATTGGAACTCCTGTGTGTGCAGTCTCTTGTAGTGACAGGTTTTCTTTATAGATGATCTCCGGCATAGGTACATATTGTCTACATACTAGACTCCGGTGTGTACATAAATTATGTACACACAGGAGACAACAGGGCAAACCCTGGGGAGCTGGACAACAAGAGGGGAGCAACTGATCAGGAGACCCCAGGCGTAAGGGCCAGGATACAGGAAATGGCGACAATACTGGAGGCACAGGCTCAACAGCAAGGAGAGGCCAAATACCCTCCCAGATCAGCCAGGTGGGGACTAATTGCTGGGAGACACCTGCAGGTGAGCACTGGAACTGCAGGATCAGGTTCCAGCTCCACAGTGCCACTTGGAGGTGCTCTGATCCATCTCTTTCCGGGTTCAGGAGAGCTTAGGTTTAGACAAGGAAAATCAACCTTTATTATTTACTATGAAGGCACTATTATTATGAAGGCACTAATGTGCCACGTGTTCGGGTGTGGGCGGGGGTTGTGACTGCTCAGGGGGGGGGCGGCAGGGGGCTGTCTTGCCTGGGGCAGCACAAAGTGTAAATACGCCGCTGCCTGCCCCTGAACGCAGGGAGCTGGCCAGTTTGCGTTCCAGAGGCCAAACGCTTTGGAGCACAAACTTTGTGGTGTGAACCAGCCCTAAGGGCTCATTCACACCACATCCAGATCATCTCCTGACCAGACCAGACCAGACCAGATTGTTTCCAGGCCCAAAATGCATACTAATGTATCCCTAGGCTATTGCTGGCCTCTGTTCACACCAGCGCAGTCCATTCCAGACCGGAAAAATACTGCATGTCTCATTCTGTCTGGTCTGGAATGCATGGAAACAAATACAAACGCATGCAAATGCACTGGAACGCACCTGAAAGCCCATTTTAAGCTAAAAAATAAACCAATGCTCCGGAAGGCGACAAAAAAAGCAGTAAAAATGCAGCAAAAAGCAATTCCCTGCGTTCAAGATCTGGTCCTGAAAATGGTATGAACCTGCCCCATGGCTGGGTTCACACCGAAGCAACAGCGTTTTTGCGCGCTGCTATGCACGTTTTATGCGCATAAATCAGAGTGAGCGTTTTTGTGAATGAGCAAATGCGTGCAAAACTGCGCTAAAACACAGCACATGCGTGTTTTTCTAATCATTTCCTATTGAGTCTACGGGGCCAAAACGAGCTGTAATATGCCAAACAAAAAGCTCCTGTACTTGTTCCAGCGACAGGCGCTTTGCTTATTGTGACGGAACGCTCAGATGTGAACAGGGCCATAGAAATGAATGGGATGTTAGTACAGAAAACAAACGCTACAAAACGCTCAGTGTGAGCCAGGCCTAAGGGCTCAGTCAGACGGGCGTGCACGCCTATAAGTAGACCCGATCCCAGAAAGAATAGGTGCTGCCTGTAATTGCACGCAGAAGCTTGTTCTTCCTTATGGGAGGACACGTGTGGATATCCGTGCGGGTCCGGGTGCCCACACTTGGACACAGACAATGTACGTCCAAGTGCGGGAACGTGGACCAGTGCGCATACGCAGGCGCAGGTGTGCATGTGACTGAATGTAATGGCGTGCATAGGGAAGAACTGGCTGCTGCGCACAATTACACCCAGCACCTGTTCCTTCCCGGATCGGGTCTTTTTATGGGCGTGCACGCTCCTCTGAATGAGCCCTTAAAGACAACCTGTCATGACAAAAGCACGGCTTCAATTTACAGCGTGCTTCCAAAAATGACAATTGCCTGGCTGTCGCAATGAGATCACGCACATTTCCACGCAGCACCCCTCCCTTCCGGGATCGGGTCTTTTTACAGGCATGCACGCCGTAGGGATAAGCCCTAAGAGTCCAAGTTTACTCATCAGCAAACCATCCGTGAGAAATATGTGAGAATATTGTCATGTCTGTGAGAAAGGACCCTGCCCTGCTTTATGGTATAGGAAAGAACGCACATATAAAGTGCTGATACATGCTGCACAACGCCCGCCCGGGGTTCTCCACCTTCTCAGACCACCATTGTATGTCCTCACACCCCCTTCACTAGACTGTCATCATCATCAACATTCATAGGTACCAGCATGACTTTATAGAATGTCAGCAGCTCGGTTTTACTCTGCATATGAATATCCAGCTGGCAGAAAATAATACAAATTGTATCCAATTGAAGTAAAAACTTTACACATTTCTGCCGTTGTTTTTGTACAATGAAAGCAGCATGGTCTGGACGTTTCTCATATGTCATCTGACGCATCAAATCAATATCTGCGCTTCTATAATGCAGGGAATCCCGTTTCATTTTTTTTTTTTTGAAGCTGAAATCTGCCATCTTGCAGAAGTCCTGCGTTGCGTGCTGGGACGCCTGGCAGCCGGGCCGGATTTCCATTTCGGGCACCTGCAGGCACGAATGGAAATCTGTTTAGCCTGAGGCGCCGCCCTTAACTGCTGTGGGACCCGCCGGCTTTCACATAGGCAGAGAAGGACCCCGGCGTCGCGTAGTGCTGCCCTAACAGGCATTTTACAGGGATACCTTATGCAGCACCGGGGTCCTTCCCCTGCGTTTACGGAAGCTGGCGGTTCCTGTAGGCCAGGGGTGTCCAAACTCCGGCCCTCCAGCTGTGGTGAAACTACAAATCCCACGATGCATCTCTCTCCGGGAGTTGTGGCTGTGAGAATCTTGCAATGCCTCATGGGATTTGTAGTTCCACCACAGCTGGAGGGCCGCAGTTTGGACACCCCTGCTGTAGGTGCTGCTGGTCTTGGGGCAGGAGGGTGCGTTTTGTGCAGAATGCCCCATCCTTGCTATTGTGGGTGTTGTACTTTGACACAACATCGGGAATAAGGGTCCGTTCACACCAGATGCAGTGCGTTTCGGCCCGATTCTGGCCAGAACGCACAGCCTCGCATTGTGTCTGGCTCACTTTTTGGTGGGGTAGGAGGGGGCGTGGCGGGCCTTTGAATAGCACTGTAGCCACCCCCTTTCGGCAGCAATGCGATCGGCCGCACGGGATCGCAAGGCACATCATGCCTGTGGTCCTGTCCAGTGCGATCAAAATGCTGCAAGCACTGACATGCGAGAGTAGGTACCTGCACAGTGCCCCGCTCTGGAGGGCACCTGTAGGCATGTGCTACTAATTTGAAATCCAGTCCTGCCTAAGAAGTGCATCCTGGTTGAGCTCCTTTGGAGGGATCGGTCATACGGAGAGGAGGAAGCCTTGCGAGAGCGAGGAATAAGGTAAGCGTCTCACCTAGACCAGGGGTAGGCAACCTCGGCACTTGGCACTCATATCTCTAGCTCTGGGATTCATGCCTGTGGCTGTCAGTCTTGCAATGCCTCATGGGACTTGTAGTTCCACAACAGTGCCGAGGTTGCCCTAGACAAAATGCAGTGCCGGAAGTGGGGGGGAGGGCCGCATGGTGACATGTTACAGATACTCCCAGGAACTTCTTTGCATTCTTTTTGTAAAACATTTCTGAGATTAAATAGAAAAACAAATTGATTTCTAAATCCTGTGGCTGAAATAAATCACACAGCATGCAGCAAAGCCTGGGGGATTGGTATCGGCCCTTCTGGGCATTGTAAAGGATATTCTTGTCCTATCCTAAAATACCAGCAGCTGTCATTGCACTGTCATGCCTGCTCCCCCCCTTCCTGGTCTGGACACAATCCATGCTGCCCGTATCTGTCCCAAGGCAGGACTTACCCTGGAAAACCACCGAGCAGTAGGTGTCACTGATGTCGGTGTCTGGGGTCTGCACACTCTCTGCATGGAGAATGAAGACTCGGAGCATTGCTGCTGCTGCTGCGTGTAGCACCCTCCCTGGCTGCAAGTTGCTGGCAGCACCCTCTCCTCTCGGACAGCTGAGCTCTGCACGCTGACTGCTGACACACACACCGGCTGTGCAAAGCCCCAACCTACCCACTGACAGAGCAATGACACTTGTACTGGTCACACTGACGTCTGAATATACACTGGACCTCACTGGCAGATACAAGGAAGACCCCCTTTTGGTTGCAATTTGAGATAATTGTATCAGGAAAAATGCAGATTCATCAGTTTTGGATTCATCGGCATGTAGATTTGCTCCATCTGTAGAGCCGTGCACTGCAGGGAATGCGGGAATTGTAAGGTTCTACCCAGGCAAAGCCACATGTATGAGAAGAATCCACAAATCTCTGCAGGTTTGTTTCTTTAACCGATTTGCTATCATATAGATAGCTAACAAAGGTACCAGTACCTGGAGCATAGTGTGGGGGAAGGAAAGGCAGGGGGAGCGGTTGCCCCGGGGTGCTGCAGGCCGCCGGCCCTCCCATACCGGGCCCCGTGGTCAGATTGGAAGCTGCCGCTGCTTTGCAGCTCTCTCCTCCCCGCTGGTAGCCGGCTGCATGCGGTGGTCTGTGTCCCCCCCTGTGGGGATCAGAGGGGACACAGAGCCGATCCAGCTGCCGGTGTTCTGTCGAAAAGGTCCAACTCGTCCAGATCTCTGACTCGTTACGTCACGTCCGGTAACCCAATTCACAGCCAAGGCGCCTGCAAACATATCACTTAGCACATAATCAAAATATACCTAAAATACAGGCGCCTTGACTGTAAATTATCTGGACCCGTTTCGCCGCACATGCGCAATGCAGGCAAATAGCCCGGGAAATTCATGGACCCGATCACCTCTTCAGCGCTTGCGCAGCCGCGCTCCAGATGACTAACGAAGTCCAGGATTCTGTTACAACACCGGCGCTCAGTTCGTTTCGGCCGGCGTTCTGACATTCTTCACCGAACACTGGCCGAAAGGATGAACTAGTAAGGTCTGCACCAGGCAAAGGTGCAGACCTTACTAATCAACCAATGGATCACCAGGGGTTGTGCCTCCTACCGGCAAGAATGTAAGCAGCTGTGGGGGCTCGAGAGAGAGGGAGGTGTCAGGAACTTGCATTTTCCTGCAGCAGGAATCCCAAATCTGCCATTTACAAGCGGCCGCTGTCATGCATTCAAGTTAGGCCTTGTTCACACCAAGAGCAGAGCAGTTGCAGACCGGATCAAAACTGCGCCCAATCTATTCCAATGGTATTTTTTGCTCCAGTTCACATCGCAGCGTGCAGTTGCAGAGCAGATCCAGAGCAGGTGAACCTGCCTGCTCTGGATCTGCTCTGGAATGCATCAAAAATGCATGCAAATGCCTGGAACACACTGAAAGCCCATTTTAAAAAATGTTTTTTTACCAAAAAGAGCCCAGAACGCGTCAAAAACGCATAAAAGACTAGCGTGCGTGTGCAGATAGCACAGGAAGCAATAGCTTCTTTGCTATCTGCTGGTATTTTGTTTTGTTTTTTTTATTCTGACAGCTGCTGCCATCAGAATAAAAAAATTTTTTTAAAAATAAAACAGCATAGGAATGAATGGCTAATTTGCTATTGGCTATTTCACTTTGCAATATCCAATAGCAAGCTGGCTATTGTACCCGCCCACTGCTGCTGTCAATCACTAGATGAGGACCTGATGGAGAACTTTAGGTCCCCCTCTGATGATTGACAGCAGCAGTGGGCGGGTGCAATAGCTAGTCTGCTATTGGATATTGCAAAGTAAAATAGCCAATAGGAATCTAGCTATGCATTCTAATGCTGATTTTTTTTCTCTGACTGACGGCGGGCCGGCGGCCCCGATGTCAGAAAGAAAAAAAAACATATTGCAGGGAAAGGTTTACTCTGCTAGATATAGCAGAGTAGTCCTTTCCGGGAGAAAATGTTTTTCTCCCGGGTGGCCGGGAGCCGCTAATAGCGGGAGACTCCTCGAGCGTCCCGGAGAGTTGGGATGTCTGAGATGATCGGATCATGAGTCATCATTTAGGCCCGGTGCAGACCGGGTCGCTGCACAAATGCAGCCAGCGATTGCCGCGCAGCCCCATTGATTTCATTGGGGTGACATCCGTGCGGCAATCGCAGAAAACAAGGTACATGTACCTTTATTTTGCGATACACAACGTGCTGCTGTTTTAGCCGCGTGTTCGGATGCACGGTCGGAATTGTGTCGGGAAACTACGTGACTGGGGTGCCATTAGAAAGTAATGGCACCCACAGCACAATCCGTCATGAAGCTCAGTCATCGGCCCTTAACCCCTTCGTGACGGGAGACGTACACTGTAAGTCCCGCCACAAAGGGACCAAATGACTCGTCACGTACACTGTACGTGACGAGTTATTTGCTGCACTAGAAGGCTAGTAACCATCCATTAATGAAAGGGTTAAACTTTTTCAGACACCCGATACCTTAATATCGGGTGTCTGAGAGCCAAAGCAGAGGGGCAAACATGCCGGCAAAAGCCGGCATTCTGACAGCTCGTATAGATCTAGAGCAGTGGTTCTCAACTCAGGGGTCGCGACACCTTCTGCAGTGGGTCGCGGCGTCCTTCCTGCAAAGAGCGGCCCATGTTCAGGAGGGAGACATAGAGGGGTGATTTGTGCGAGCCAGCCTGTGGGATTGACTTTACTGTCACATTAAGAAGCACCATCACACTAGTTTTCAGAAGTCACCGGAATTATGAATCCAGCAAATACCACTAGGTGAAACGTTCTTTGGTAGCTGAAGATGGTCTGTGGATTTCCTCAGCTACGTGGGTCATGTCCGCCCCCTATTGGACAAATATGTGAACTTTGTTTTACCCTTTCATATGGTTGTCAACTTTCAATGTGTAGGCCGGCGGCAACTGTGGCCCCTGACAGCTCTAAAGTGCGCATTGCACCGTTTATTTATATATTTATTTTTGTTAGGGTTAGAACCCCCCCCGCCCCGTTTGCATACATGAATCAGATGGCATGGGTGGCTGGCTTTGTATGAAATTCTTCTGACACTGCACGGGACGAGTGACACCGCATAGGACCGACTGAATTTTCTGGGAACTGTGTGAAAGCATGGGACAAGAACACATGGGACCAAGCGATTGTGCCGGGAGCTGAGTGACAATGCACGGGACCAAGTGACACCGCTGGGAGCTGTGTGACAATGCACGGGACCAAGTGACACCGCTGGGAGCTGAGTGACAATGCACGGGACCAAGTGACACCGCTGGGAGCTGTGTGACAATGCACGGGACCAAGTGACACCGCTGGGAGCTGCGTAAAAACATATGAGATAGAGCGCCTCTGCTAGGAGGTGTGTGTGTGTGTGTGTGTGTGTGTGTACCTGCTAAGGACCAGATTTGTTTTGTTGTCCTGATACTTAAAACTATAGAGTTCAGAGTATATTCATAGTGTATGTATGAGTGTGTATATGTGTATATTAATGTGTGTATGTGTGTGTGTATGTATGTATGTGTGTATATTAATGTGTGTGTGTGTGTATATTAGTGTGTGTGTATGCATGTATGTGTGTGTGTATGTATGTATGTGTGTATATTAATGTGTGTGTGTGTGTGTATATTAGTGTGTGTGTATGCATGTATGTGTGTGTGTCTCACCTTGTAACATCTACCTTTTCTATGCGCTGCCCATCTAGGGATATTAAATATAACATTAATAAGTTGCTTTTTGATTGCTCTAAAAGAACGCACAAATCTGAAGAGTTGCGTGTCTGTTGCATGTGTAAAGTCGATTGATTGTATCATCGGTGCCTTGAAGCTCGGTTGTAACTCATTGCCAGGCAGGGATCTGTGTGGGCAGTGGAAGTGGGTACGCCAAGGTTCTAGCTCAGAGAATAGTTTAATGGTTGTGTGGCAGCCTAAGTGGTTTCCTCACGCCCACTAAGGTCTCGTTCACACCTAGGCGTATTGCATATGCGCGACCGTCACGCGTTTTGCGGTAAAAAAAGTAACGCGACCGTCGCGCGTTTCCGAAGGCTACTTGGCTGTATCCCAATGGAAACGCGCAACAAAACGGCCCAAAGTAGTACCTGTACCTTTTCAGGCGTGGGCCGCTTTGTAGCGCGTTAGGGACGGGCGGAAATACGCCAAGGTGGAAACGAGACCCATTGACTACAATGGGATTTATATTTTTGAGCGTTTTGTAGAGCGTTCGTCGAGCGTAGAACGCGCTACAAAACGGTCAGGTGTGAACGAGGGCTAAGAGCCATTAGAGAACACCAGATTGTATGTGAGATTTGCATTTGCCTCTGTGTGTCCAGCCAGCTTGAGATGGATGAGTCTCCCTCCAGTGGTGGCCAGCAGTAGTGCAGGAGGCTGTGAGTGGAGGTACTAAGTAGAGGTAATGGTGTGGTTTGGTTTAGCTAACCTGTACCTACTAGTGAGTGTGCGTGTGTGGTCTGCTTGAGCGCAGAGTTTTCGGATTAGGAGAGTTCAGGGAAAGGTTCCCCACAAGCCTGTAAATTGTGGGTGGTGGCAGCTTAGATTAGATTGTGTGTGCGCGTGTGTTGTTGCACGGCCTTACCGTCATGCCTGCAGACTGGGAGGCGCTCTCCTGAGGATCTGCTGGTGCGCTGGAAGATCTCCAAGGACGTACAAAGGACAGCTATAGCCTGCGTGTCGTGGGGCCCTTCCCATGTCCCTGTACCCCCTCGGTGACCCTCCTCCGGCTCGACGTCCGTGACATCGCCTACATACACTATATTGCCAAAGTATTGGGACGCCGACTTTTACACGCACATGAACTCTCATGACATCCCAGTCTTAGTCCGTAGGGTTCAGTATTGAGTTGGGTCCGCCCTTTGCAGCTATAACAGCTTCAACTCTTCTGGGAAGACGTCCACAAGGTTTAGGAGTATGTCTATGGGAATGTTGGACCATTTGTGAGGTCAGGTATTGATGTTGGGGGAGAAGGCCGGGCTCGCAGTCTTCGCTCTAATTCATCCCAAAGGTGTTCTATCGGGTTGAGGTCAGGACTCTGTGCAGGTCAGTCAAGTTCCTCCACCCCAAACTCGCTCATCCATGTCTTTAAGGACCTTGCTTTGTGCACTGGTGCGCAGTCATGTTGGAACAGGGAGGGGCCATCCCCAAACTCCTCCCACAAACTTGGAAGCATGAAATTGTCCACAATGTCTTGGTATGCTGATGCCTTAAGAGTTCCCTTCACTGGAACTAAGGGGCCAAGCCCAACCCCCGAAAAACAAACAACCCCCCCATAATCCCCCCTCCACCAAACCTTACACTTGGCACAATGCAGTCAGGCAAGTACCGTTCTCCTGGCAACCGCCAAACCCAGACACGTCCATCGGATTGCCAGACAGAGAAGTGTGATTGGTCACTCCAGAGAACACGTCTCCACTTCTCTAGAGTAGAGCTGCAGCTAACGATTATTTTCAAAATCGATTAGTTAGCCGATTATTAAGTTCGATTAATCGGATAAACAATAAAATAAATGTTAAAAATTGGCTCCACTGATGGGACTACTAGTTTTTATTGAGATTGCACTCCATCACAGGAGCAAGCTTGGAGCGGTGGAATAAAAAAAAAAA